GCACCCTGTACTCTCTCTTCATAGCACTTCTTACAGCTGTAGGTCCCTCCCATGGGCAATTACATCACTGTCGTCTCCCCTCGAGACTGTGGGGATACCAGGGCCATCTCTGTCTCATTCACCTTGCCTTCCTGTGGGTCTAGCACCGTGTCTGGCCCCTGGTGATGTTCAATAAATATGTGATGAATGAGTAAACAACAGAGGCTCTGGGGCTGTGCAGGAACCCGGGCACGATTGATGTGTCTAACACAGCAAAGGGCCCTGTCAGAGTGACGCTTCTGAGAAACGGTCCTCACCCGAGTGACACCCTCTGACTCTGTCTGGTTTGGTTCTCACTACACTAGTTCCAAGGAAATCACAGGAAGCCTTCAGAGCTTGTCACCACCCTTTCCTCTGTCCCAAGTCCAAGCTTATGAACTACCTATCTGCTATGGACAAGCCACACCAACCCTCTGAGCCTCAGCCGCACCCCATGTAAAGTGGGGAAATTCATGCCCATTCTACCTTTTAAGATTATCTCAATTCTCAAGATGAGATAATATGAAGGAACATGTGGTGAATTAAAATCCTTTGTCACTCCTCCCACTGAGAAGTGGGGTCTATTTCCTTCGTCCCCTGATTCTGGGCTGGGCCTGTGACTGCTCTGACCAGTACAATAGGGAAGACGTAGCTTCACGCCAGTTCCAGGCCTAACCTTTAAGAGAACTGGCAGCTTCTGCTTCCTCCCTTTTGAAACCTAGCCACCATGCTACAAGGAAGCCCAAGCAGCCTGTGACAAGGCCCACAGGATGGAGAACTAGAAGGCCAGGCTCAGCCCTCGCCGGGCTTGCAGCGGACGGCCAGCACCAATCTCTCTGCTGTGTGGGGGAACTTTCTTGCCCCAGCTGAGCTGCTCCATCAAGCCAAAATTGTAAAACTGTGAGCAAATTTTAAAAAACAAGTTGTTGTTGTTTTAAGCCAATGAACTCTTGGGAGGGAGGGAGATATGGGGGTTACCAGGCAACAACAGATAATCAAAGCAACAATCTTTGGCCTACTCTGGTTCTTAATACCTTCATTTATTTCAAACTCGGGGTAGTGGTGTCTCCCCAGGGCAGTTCTGGAAGTATGTGTTCATTGGGGGCATATTTTTGTTTGTCACAGTGACCAGGTTTGGGGGGTGGATGAGATTGTGCTACTGACATTTAACGTCCATGGGGCCCGGGATACTGAATGTATTAAATGTCCTATAATGCTTGAGATATCCACCCACAATGAATTGCCCTACAGGAAATGGCAACAGGGCTCCCACTGAAAAGCAAGGCACAAAATGAAGAGCCTGAATGGAAAAGTGGTTTAAAGATAAAGATGAAATAAAAATATAAGGATTTGATGTAAACTGCTTTCTCAGCAAAGAAAAACAGGGTTCATCTTGCTGCCAACTTTAATGGCTTTGAGTGGCTGGCTGGAAGGTTGTATTGAGATGCCTTAAAGGATGCGTATGGAATCAGCAAGGACATGGTGCCGTGATCAACTAGTGATGTCTGTCACTGGCAAGGGAAGGGAGAGTGGTGGCCTTTAAGTAGGGTGATCACATAATTTAACATCCAAACTGAAATTCTATGGCAAGGAAAAGGGGGCACCTATTAATAAGTACACTGGTACAACAGGCACAAACTAGGATTGTCCAATAAAACCGGACATGTGGTCACCGCACTTTTATGCCATGGATGTCATCCCCAGTACATCCTGATATGTATGTAGTTCAGAGACAACCCAAATAGGGGCTGTCCAGACCCACAGGCCTCTGAGATCCTAAACGTTAATTTTTCTTTTAAGTACTCTGTTTCAGTGTGTGGTTAGGTATGAAGAATTGTTCTAAAGAACACATTAAAAATTAATTAAAAGAGTTTCCTCTAATATTTAATCTTACCAGCCATGTATTCTGAGTGATGTATTCCCAGTCAGCGTGTCAAGGCCTGAATAATTAAAAGAGAAGGGGAGTGCGATTCAGCCCCTTGACGAGCCTTTCTGGGGGTTTAGACACAGCGCAGAACCCGGGAACTGCATCTCCCAAGGAAAACTTCTGCATTGAACGGCAGGGTCCAGTCCGGTGGAGACACCAGCCGCCGGCATTCATCACGAGGGTCGATGCAGTCCAAACGAGCAGTAGCTCAGAGGGAGATGGAGACGGATGCGGCTCTGCTCTCATCCTGCCTCCTTCCTCTCAGGAAGGGGGAGGGGAGGGGTGGTGACTTATGGGAAGCTTCCCAAGGCTCCTCATGAGCTGGGAGCTTCTGTGTTTCCTCACCTCTGAGACGCGCTTCTTCATTTGGTAACGTTTCGGAAATGGAGATGTGACTTAAAATCAATGGGAAGGTGGTATTTCTTGGGAGATGTTCCAGAATGAGGGTTAGGAGCAAGCCACAGTCCGGGCTGTGGAGTCACACTCCGTGCTCTGCTGTTTCCCGCCATGTGGCCCTGAGCAAACCACACCCCTTCTGGAGGCCTCAGGTGCCTCATCTGTCAATCGAGGCTATTAATAATAGGACCAAATCGACAATAAATGAAAGAGAGTTTGAGCATAGCGCTTGGCAGGTCGTAGGCCCTCAGCATATGTTAGCGATTATTTCTTTTTGTTTATCCTCTGCATGCTATTGTTAAATTGCTGGTGTATCTAAAAATTGACATCATCTTCAGTGTGTCTGCAGGACTGCCGGTTCAGAAAGAGTTCAGAAACAACCGCTTCTACGCTCGCTCTATGGGACCACCGGAGTATTGATTATGGCCTATTTGGGGGGTGTTGGGGAAGGGGGATTCATATGGGATAGCAGGACTTCATTTGACATTATTTCTACTCAGCTAAATGAAGATTCTCCAGGAGCAACCTCCTCCCCACTTCCAACCCTCCTCCTTCCCACAATTGATGCACGAGGCCCAGGACCCAGGCTTCCTTTTCTTTTAGCAGAAGGAATTCGTCCTGAGGGCAGGGAATGGAAAAGGGGGGCAAAAAGAGGGAGGGTAATTTTCACCTGGGCTCTTGTACATACAATAACGTAGGTGTTCGCCGCTTGTTGTGGCCCATGAGGAATGTTGGAGATCCGATGGTCCCGAGAAGGTGGAAAACACAAGTTTTGGACCCAAACAGACCTGAGTCTGCCTCTCAGTTTCCCATCAGTTCCCCACTCCATCCCATATGGGTGTTGGGATGATTTACAGAAATAACTCACGTCTAGGGCATCAGGCACAGCCGGTCTCCCAGTAACCCCCTAGGAAAGGTTAGCTATTATTGATGAAACCCAGAAGTCGCTCAGGCCCGTAGAGGAGAGGGTTGTTAGGGGCAAATACCAGAATCCACTCAGGCTGCCTTAAGCAGAAAAGAATTCATTTGAGGGGATCAGATGGCTCCCAGAATCCCTGGGAGGGATAAGGAAGGCCACTCTGAAGCATTGCCACCAGGAGCAATGTCCACACCGTAGGGACTTCCCCTGAGAAAACATCCCTCTCCTGTCATTGCCAGAAGCTCCTCAGACTCAGAACCAATGCCAGGGGCTCCACACTGCTGCCCCTGAGGTCACCGTGCTTGCCAGGAGGACAGGTTCCCAGTGTGCGGCCACTTCCTCATGGCGCTCAGTTCTGAACCCTAGGCTCCCACGGATGCATCGGCTTTGCAGAACTCTGCAAGTTATGTTCCAGAATGCAAGGGAATCTAACAATGTGTTTATTCTTCCTTCTGTCTTGATTAAGGCAGGACTCAAAATGTGGGAAATTACCCAGAATGTAGGGAGAGGGCTCCTGGGTGATGGGCAGTCACAAATGACCAGTGTGTGCTCCAGGCTACTCTATCCCTTGGGATTTGGGTAAACTTGGCTCAGAGCCCTGTATCCCAGCCTGCGCAGTTCCCAGCCCCTCTGCACAATTTCAGGAGACTATCCACCTTACTTCCCCACTCCTGAGTCTACTGTGCCCGTTCAGTGTGGACTGAGCATGGACCTTGGCCCCATCACTTGTTTCACAAGAAATCCTGTCACATACGAGGATTTCGTGGTTTCATGATTTTCAGGAAGACTTAAAGAGGAGTCTTTGGGGGGGATCACTGTGTCCACAGCCCAGCCTTCTGTCACCTGTCCCCTTGCCTCTGCTGCCTTCCAAGAGCCCAGGCTCCCAGCTCATGACTCCCACCTCAAGTGGGCCCCTGGGAGTAACCACCTGTCTTCCCTATTATTTGGGGGAGCAGTCCCACCAGACTGGCTGCCTTCCCCAGGCCTGTGCCCAAGAATTCTGCTTAATACTATTTTCTCCACCTTCATTGTCACCGATGTCATCTTCTCCTTGAGATGCTGTGTCAGTTTTTGAGGGCCTTCATGGTCTTCAAAATTTACCACGTGGTCGAGGAGTAGCTACTGGTCCATTTAGCTCGAAGATGCCAACACCTGACCTTCTCTTTGTGACCAGGAAGAGAAAGCAGCTGCCCTTTGAGTGTCGTTCTATGGGTCTCCCGGAAAGCTGAGCTAAGATGAGACCCGAGACGATACAAGTTGTCGATTTAGGAGCTGATCCCAGGAAGCACCAGCAGGACAGTAAGGAAGGGAGATAGGATGGGAGGACGCCCATTAAGGGAACGTTAACAAACAGGTTACCACTGTGGGAATGGGGCTCAGTCCCACTGGACACATCTGAGAGATGTGTGTCCCACAGCTCAAAACTGTCCCACCCAGGGGTGAGGAAGCTGGGTGTTTACCCAGTGACTCCCAGCCCTTGTTGGCTGTGGGCTGCTCCCAGGGGCATTAATCCTTGCGCAGTTGCAGCCCGCTCTGTGCCCAGCTGAGCTGACTTCTGCATTCAGAGAAAGCCTGCAGCCAGAGAGACCCTGGCGCCCGTGAAGACCCCCACTGTGTACACCACGCTGCAGAAGAGTTCCAGGGCAGCCCGGAGAAGCTGGACAGGCACTGACCGCATCTACTACGATGAGGCGCTGTCTTAGTTTCCGTCACCCCCGTAACAAAGTACCCAAAACCAGGTGGCTTAAAACAATGGAAGTTTATTCTCTCACAATTCTGGAAGCTAGACGTCTGAAATCAAGGTGTCCGCGGGGCCAGGCTCCTTCTGAAGTCTTTATGGAAAGCCCTTGCGCGCCTCCCCCAGCCTCTGGCAGGTTTTAGCAATTCTTGGCATTCCTTGGCTTGTGGCAGCATCTCTCCCTCTGTCTTCACATGGCCGTCTTCTCCTTATCTCCGCTCTGTGTGTCTACCTCTGTGACCAAATTTCCCCCTTTAATAAGGACACCAGACCTATGGGATTAAGAGCTCACCTACTCCATACAACCTCAACTAATCACAATGCATTGACCCCGTTTCCAAATTAGGTCCCATTCTGAGGCACTGGGGGTTCAGACTTCAACACATCTTTTTGGGGGGGCAGATAATTCAGCCCGAAATAGGCACCGGACACATGTCATGTCCTCTAATCCCGACAGCAGCCTGCAAGGCAGGTGAGACTCTCCCGGTGTCACAGGTGCAGAAACGGAGGCTGGGGGAGGAGGTGGGGGGTGAAGGAACCCACCAAGGATGCCCAGCCCGGAAACTGCAGAGCTGGAAGCTGAGTGCAGCTCTGTGTCAGGCTGAAGTCTCATGTGCTCTCCTCTGAACAGTCACTTCTGGTTTGAAGGAACAGCAGGCAAGGGTGTAGGCACTCATGTCAGACCACCCAAGTTCAAATCCCACCGCCCCTGCTCACTCTTGCCAGACCTCGGAGGCTCAGCTTCCTAGTCTGAAAAATGGGCATCAGAACAGCACCACCAGCACAGACTTACCGCGAGGATCAATGAGGGTAATGGGTGACAAACATTTCATCGAGGGCGGGAACATGGTGAGCGCACGGGGAAGGTTCCTGCCTTTAATGCCATCACAGTCCCATTTAATACTCCTGCACCTTCACATCGCCACTCGAGCCCCTGCACACCATCCAGGATCATTTTTGTCTTTTACTCCTCGTCACAGCTGCCCACAAGTGGCTCCAGGCAGGGACCCGCGGGGCTGCAGGGCCGGGTGGCGCCAGCATCCTCCCAGTGCCCCCGCACGCCCCGCCCCCCACGCCCAGCTTGCTAACGCCCCCGTTCCAGGCGGCTCTGTGAGAACAGCGATAAAAACAGCAGCTCTTAATCTCCTGCCTGCCGCCTGTGGCTTTATCTCAGCCCCTCCTCCTGGGCTGCTGGGGGCTGGAGGGGAGATGGGCAGATTAAGAGCAGCGTTTCCGACATGCCCTCCCACCTCCGGCAAAGTGGGGCCCGCCGCCAGCAGACTTCCTCAAAGCCCAGCGAGGCCGCCGGAGGAATGCGCGGCCTCCCTGGCATGGCAGACATTCAAGGAGCCCACAAAGACGCTGTTATGAAAACGCTCCCGAGCTCGGGGTAGGACGGGAGAGTTTCCTTTGCCATCGGGATTGCACATTTCAAGAACAGGAGCTGGGCGACAGAATGCACGCCTGTGAACACACACGGCTCATAACTAATTCATTTCACCTCCTCCTATTGGAAAAATATTGCAGGGGATGTGGGGGGAGGGAGTGGGGCGGGCGGAACCGCTGGTCTGAACAGGTAGCTGTTTCTTTGCCTGGGGCTCAGCCTGGCTGAGAACCAACCTGTCAAAAGTGGAAGTTGAAGGTCAGGTAACTATTGTGCCGTCAACAGCCAGCTTGGCGTTCCTCCGAGTGACCTCCCAGACTGGCCTTCTCTGCCTGCCTTCTGTGTGGTCTTTTCATTCTTGGACAGGATTGTCTTTGAACAGCTAAAAACCAGAAATAGAGCTGAGGACCACAACTTAGCTACTAGGCACTTCCCGGCAACTCCTCACATGTTCCCCTGCTCAGGATGCCGGTGGTACCCGCCAGGGCCTGCGCCAGGGCCCCTCCCTCCCCTCAGGCACCTTACAGTCCAGCGGGGAGGGGGCATGTCGACAGAAGAGGATAAAGTAAGTGTGCGCCTGGCTTACTGTGGGAGAACAGGAGAGGAAAACCTAGCCCAGCCTGGCAGTCAGGGAAGCTTCCTGGAGAAGGGGACATCCCAGAGGAAATGTGAAGAATGAATAGACATTAGCAGGGAGAACTGGAAGTACAAAAAGAGCATGGCACATTCTGGAATATTCTGGAACGTGAGGTTGCAGAGGAGGGGGGAATGTTGGGAGGATTAGAATTAAAGAAGCAAAGGAATTATAAAGAAGTAACTGCAGAGTTTAGTACCTGAGGGGACACTCACTTAAAATTACAATGAAGTACCATCAGCTAAAAATTGTCATGGGTAAATTTTACTTGATAGAAAAATATTGTAAGTGCTTTCTTGCATTCTATCACTTATTCAGGTAAATAAATATTTGCTGAACATCAGCTACATAGCAGGCGCTGTGCTAGTTATTGGTGATTCGAAGGTCGTTCAGACCAGATCTTGTCTTCAAGGAGTTCTAGTAGCTAAGGTTTATCACGCTCACAGCCCCAGGCACTCCACATGTCCTGTCCCACTTACTCCTGTCGAGACTGCCTCCTGAGTGGAGGTGCGTGGAGACTCAGCATGCTTTTCCCCCCAACTCACCCGGGTCCCCGTGTCAAATGGGCAGGACTCAGCACAGGTGCACCAGAGAGCTGTGGGGGTTTATGAGATGATTGCAATGCATGCAAGGGGGCAGGAGATGGAGAAAGGAAGGGACAGAGACAGAAACAAAGACGGGAAGAGAAAGCGATAGAAAGATGGAGAGAGTCAGACACATAGGGAGAGAGAGAGAAGGTGGGAGGGAAAGAGGCAGACACAGGCAGATAGACCAAGAGAGAGACAAATGGGAGCAAGGCACAGGATCATTCACAGAAACAGACAGAAAGAGAAAGAAACAGAGAGAATGACACACTCAGAGTGACAGAGAGACTGGGAGGGGGTGCCTGCAGCTGAGTTCTCTCCTAAGAAAACCAGGGCCCCAGTCCCCACCAGTGGAAGTCTGGGCTGGCCAGTGCTCCAAGTGTCCCTAAGACCCAGCTGAGTCAGGGCCAAACCACCAGGAGGGGCACAGGGCCCTGATAAACCCAGCCCAGTGGAGAGAGGGCCGGCCATGGGAGAACTGGAAGGAGGGGCTAGCTGCAGTGGCTCGCCAGCTCTCCTGCAAGGTTCCCACCTCATTTCTGCCCACCGGGCCCCATACGCCCGGCCCTGGCCCTCACCTCAGGGACAGGGTGCTGGCCTCACAGTTAAGGTCAGAGAGCAACATCCAGGGCTGCACCCTTCAACTGGCAGCTGCATGGTCCAGCCAGGGAAGCAGGCCAAGAAGTCCATCTGAAGAAGCAGGCTCCAGGGCTGCTGTGTTTGGAGTCCCACGGGACATCTGAGGCCCTCAGCTGAACAGCCACTGTATGTAGCAGGCTGTGTATGCGCCAGGCCCTGGTCTAATGGCCAGTGTTATTAAATGCTCCCTTGGTGCCAGGCACTGCATTCTTACAGTAAGACAGACACTGGCAGCAGCCCATTTTACAGATGTGGAAATTGAGGCCCAGAGAGGTTAGGGACCTATCTAAAGCCACACAGCCAGTACACTTAACTGTAGGTTCGCTGCTACTGTGCTAGGCATTTTTCATTCATTATCACAGAAATCCTTGAAGTGAGTATTAGGACCCACATTTTGTAGATTCAGAAAATGAAGGGTAAAGAGGTTAAGCATGCACAGGTCACAGAATCTGTGAAGAGGAGAGCTGGGATGAGGACCTTAGCATGCTCCGCTCTGAACCTCTTTCTTCCACATCCCGAACTCCAGGACACACACCTTTTTGGCTGGGGCCTCAGCATCCAGGACTCAGCAGAAAAACAGGGGAGACATTCAGACAGAGACACACGGCGCCACACCCTGCAGGGCACCCACCTTCCGCAGCACTGTTGCAGCCAGCAACTTGCCCCCAGCCTATTCCTTGGTGCCAAGGGCCCTTAACCTGGGGCCACAGAACCCAAAGAATCTGTGAGAATTCAGGGGTCAGCCGGCTTGGGCGGAAAAAAACTAGATTATTCTTTCACTAACTTCTAACCAAGATTCAGCATTTGCCTCCGTTGCAAATGTCGGCGAGAACTCACAGCAGGATTAGCGGCACCTGCGACTTTGTCACCAAAGAAATCACTTTCACACGCAGGATGGTTGTTGCAGATCTCAAACCATTATGCACGCTCATTGCTACTTCAAACTTCTGGTAGTTGCTAAACTTACTGCTAGATCTCATTTAATGTTCATAAAGAAGCACGTATATTCCAAATCAATTTCTTTTTCATTTTAATATCTTGATAATTGTATTTCAAAACACTTTCTTTCCTTAGTCCTAGTGGGTAAAATAAAACCATCTGTCTGAGAAGGGTCCCGGGGCTTCACGGGATGCTGAGAGGTCCATAACACACAAAAGTTTAGAATTTCTGGTCTATCCCCTTCTCACTCAGGCCGAAGATATTCCTTGCTCCCTGGCCTCACTGGATCCCAGGGGTGGAGGCCACAGGTCCAGCCCACCGGCTCCCTGGCTCAAAGCTGAACCTTGGCTGGACGTCTGAGAAGCGCGAGCCAGCCCAGCTAGCACAGATTCCCTCCTCCAGTTTCCCTCAGCACCAAGCCGGAGCACACGCTCAGCCTCCAAGTTTGAAGGCAGGACCCCTCACCCAGCAGTGGGTGTGCAGCCAGCTGCTCAGAAGCGCTCAAAGCAGAGCCTTCTTACAGCCAAATTCATTCAGGAGACAGGAAAGTGGCAGGCACTGGTTCCCTACCTTGGCTGCCCAGAGGAATAAAAAAGTACTGATGCCTGGATCTCCCCTGGGAGATCCGGGCTGAGTTGCTTTGGGGAGATGCCTGGGCATCGAGATTTTTTAAAACTCCCCAGGTGATTCTAACGTGCAGCCAGGGCTGAGAATTGGCAGGACTGAGAGAGGAGAGCCCCAGGCAAGCGCACAGGGCACCAAAGGTCCAGGTCTGCATCTTGGGCAAGCCGAGACCTCTCTGATCAGCTTCCTCATCTATAAACATTTGGGATGGCGAGAAGGGATCCTGTTTACTAAGCACCCACCACATGCCAGACACTCTACGAAAGGTATTTCCTTCATTCCCCTCCACAATTGTGTGATGGTGGTGGTATCCCCCGTGCTTGGAGTCAGCCAGCTAGTAAGTGATGGAGCATGGATGAGGACCCCATGTGTTTGACACAGAAACCCTGTCCTTCCTGTGGCACCACTCTGCTAAATCGGTGTGTCTCCAACTTGCCAAATGTTGCTCAAGGCTTAAGGATTTTGTTAAAATGCGGATTCTGATTCAGTACATCAGGGCTGGGTCCCAAGGGTCTGCATTCCCAGCAGGCTCCCAAATTATCCCAGTGCTGCTCAGCCGGGAGCCCACTCTGGGTAGCAAATGCTTAACAGGTCTTTGTGGCCAGTGTCAGTTCTGATCGGTCAGTGCCTGGGCCAGGCCAGTTGGTTAAGCATTTAGGCCATTCCCCCTATTCTGATGACAGCGCCTAGGTTTGCTCTAGGATCGCTGCCCATCCCCTGCTCAGCCATGTGGCTTGTTGGAGATTGACACCACCCGCGCTCCAGCTTATGGCAGTCAGCAAGTCGCGTCCCTCAGCTAGGTGTGATGGTTCAGGGATGGGTGCCTACCTCAAGCCAAGCAAATGGGATACCAAGACTTTGAGAGAAGTTCCTCTCTCTTCTACGGGAGCTCCCAGAAGAGAAGTTCTTTCTTGCTCAGGCTGCTGTGGCTTGAGGATTTAAAGAATGTAGCTGCTGCAGCTATTTTCTTCCACGAGGGCAGAGTGCAGGGCAGTGGGTTGTAAACCCAGTGGCATGGAGCCTCAGGAGGAAGGCAGGCAGAATAGAGAAAAACCAGGTCCTTGGGGACATCATAGGAATGGCTGGATTAAGCTCTGCCTGAAGCCCACATCTGGGCTATCAATTCACCAAGGCCATTATTGTTTAAAGCCAAGTTGAGTTGGATTCTATATCTCAACACCAGTAGTCCTAAAAGGCGCTCTGGCATCAAAGAGACCAGAGTTTGAATGTCAGCTCAGCCACTCACTAGCTGTGTGGCCTTGGACAAGTCATTTGGCCTCTCTGAGCCTCAGTTTCCACGTCTATAAAATGGAAC